AATTTTGGGGAATTTTGGGGATTTTTGGGGGGTCCCGGGGGGATTTTGGGGACCAAGCCCCACCCCTCCCTTCGCTGTGGCCCCGCCCACTCCACAAACCCCGCCCACTCAACGAGGCCACACCCCTTTTTCATCCGGTCCTTTTATTGGTTCCCATCCAACGTCAATCAAAGGGGGCGGGGTCAAAGGGGGCGGGGCCAGAGGGGGAAATTCGGACAATTTTGGGGCAATTTTGGTCGTTTTGGGGGAATTTTCTCCATTTTGAGTGAATTTGGGGCCATTTTGGGTCAATTTTCCCCATTTTGGATGAATCTGGGGCCATTTTCGATGAATTTGGGGCAATTTTGGGGGAATTTGGGGCAGAACTGGAACAACTTTGAGTGAATTTTCTCCATTTTCGATGAATTTGGGACAATTTTGGGTCCATTTGGGGCAATTTTGGATCAATTTTTCCCATTTTCGATGAAGTTTGGGCCATTTTGGGGCAATTCCGGCTGTTTTTGGGGCGATTCCGGCTGTTTTTTTGAGGTGATTCCGGCTGTTTTTTGGGGCAATTCCGGCTGTTTTTGGGGTCATCCAGGTGTTTTTTTGGGGTTAACCAGGTGATTTTTTTGGGTGGATTCCGGCTGTTTTTGGGTCGATTCTGGCTGTTTTTTCAGGGTGATTCTGGGTGTGTTTTTGGGCTGATTCCGTCTGTTTTTGGGGTTATCCAGGTGATGTTTTTGGGCCGATTCTGGCTGGTTTTGGGTCGATTTCGGCTGTTTCTGGGGTTATCCAGGTGATTTTTTTGGGTGATTCCGGCTGTTTTTGGGCTGGTTCCGGCTGTTTTTTCAGGGCCGGTTCCGGCTGTTTCTGGGGTCATCCAGGTGTTTTTTTGGGGTTATCCAAGTGATTTTTTTGGGTGGATTCCGGCTGTTTTTGGGCCGGTTCCGGGTGTTTTTTTGGGTGGATTCCGGCTGTTTTTGGGGCAATTCCGGCTGTTTTTGGGGTTATCCAGGTGATTTTTTTGGGTGGATTCCGGCTGATTTTGGGCCGGTTCCGGGTGTTTTTTTGGGTGGATTCCGGCTGGTTTTGGGTCGATTCTGGCTGTTTTTTTGGGCTGGTTCCGGCTGTATTTTTGGGTGGATTCCAGGTGTTTCTGGGCCGGTTCCGGCTGTTTTTGGGCCGGTTCCGGCTGTTTTTTTGGGTCAATTCCGGCTGTTTTTGGGTCGATTCTGGGTGTGTTTTTGGGCCGGTTCCGGCTGTTTCTGGGCTGATTCCGGCTGTTTCTGGGGTTATCCAGGTGATTTTTTCAGGGTGATTCCAGCTGTTTTTTTGGGCCGGTTCCGGCTGTCTCTGGGCCGGTTCCGGCTGTTTCTGGGCCGGTTCCGGCTGTTTCTGGGGTTATCCAGGTGATTTTTTTGGGTGGATTCCGGCTGTTTCTGGGGTTATCCAGGTGATTTTTTTGGGTGGATTCCAGCTGTTTTTTCAGGGTGATTCCGGCTGGTTTTTTGGGCCGGTTCCGGCTGTTTCTGGGCCAGTTCCGTCTGTTTTTTTCAGGGTGATTCCAGGTGTGTTTTTGGGTGGATTCCGGCTGTTTTTGGGGTTATCCAGGTGATGTTTTTGGGCCGGTTCCGGCTGTTTCTGGGCCGGTTCCGGCTGTGTTTTTGGGTGGATTCCAGGTGTTTTTGGGCCGGTTCCGGCTGTTTTTTTGGGCCGGTTCCGGCTGTCTCTGGGCCGGTTCCGGCTGCCTCAGGGCGGGGGCAGGGCCAGCAGCGGCGGCAGCAGCTCCTGGGGGTCCCCGCGCCCCCCGCCCGCCTCGGCCGAGTGTTTGCATTTCTCGGAGCCGCACTGGCACGGGAAGTATTTGCTCTTGATGTCCCAGAAACGATCCCCGTAATCGAACCTGGAAACCACAAACCACTAATTATAAATCACAAATCACAAATCACAAATCAAAAATTATAAATCAAAAATCACAAACCACAAATCAAAAATTATAAATCAAAAATTATAAATCACAAATCAAAAATCACAAATCACAAATTAAAAATCACAAATCACGAATCAAAAATCACAAATCAAAAATTATAAATCAAAAATCACAAATCACAAATCACAAATCAAAAATTATAAATCAAAAATCACAAATCAATCAAAAATCACAAATCAAAAATCAAAAATCACAAATCAAAAATTATAAATCAAAAATCACAGATCACAAATCAAAAATCAAAAATCACAAATTAAAAATCACAAATCACAAATCACAAATTATAAATCACAAATCACAAATCACAAATCAAAAATCAAAAATCACAAATTAAAAATCACAAATCACGAATCAAAAATCACAAATCAAAAATTATAAATCAAAAATCACAAATCACAAATCAATCAAAAATCACAAATCAAAAATCAAAAATCACAAATCAAAAATTATAAATCAAAAATCACAAATCAAAAATCACAAATCAAAAATTATAAATCAAAAATTATAAATCAAAAATCACAAATCAAAAATCAAAAATCACAAATCAAAAATCACAAATCAAAAATCACAAATCAAAAAACACAAATCCTGAATCCCAAATCCCACCCCCAAAATCACACATCAAAAATCAAAAATTATAAATCAAAAATCACAAATCAGAAATCCTGAATCCCAAATCCCACCCCCAAAATCCCCCATAAATCCCAATAAACCCCAATAAATCCATATAAAACCCCAATAAATCCCAATAAAATCCAAATAAATCCATATAAATCCCAATAAAACCCCAATAAATCGATATAAAACCCCAATAAATCGATATAAAACCCCAATAAATCCCTATAAAACCCCAATAAATCCATATAAAACCCTAATAAATCCATATAAAACCCCAATAAATGGATACAAAACCCCAATAAATCGATATAAAACCCCAATAAACCCCAATAAATCGATATAAAACCCCAATAAACCCCAATAAATCGATATAAAACCCCAATAATTGTCACCCCAGCTCCTCCCCGGGCCGGATGTGGCGGCTGCTGAAGAAGGCGATGCGGGGTAAGCCCCAAAAACCCCAATAAATCCATATAAAACCCCAATAAATCGATATAAAACCCCAATAAATCCATATAAAACCCCAATAAATCGATATAAAACCCCAATAAATCCCAATAAAACCCCAATAAATCGATATAAAACCCCAATAAACCCCAATAAATGGATATAAAATCCCAATAAATCGATATAAAACCCCAATAAAAGCTGACCCCAGCTCCTCCCCGGGCCGGATGTGGCGGCTGCTGAAGAAGGCGATGCGGGGGAAGCCCCAAAAACCCCAATAAATCCATATAAAACCCCAATAAACCCCAATAAATGGATATAAAACCCCAATAAATCGATATAAAACCCCAATAAATGGATATAAAACCCCAATAAACCCCAATAAAACCCCAATAAATCCATATAAAACCCAAATAAATCCATATAAAACCCCAATAAATCGATATAAATCCATATAAAACCCCAATAAACCCCAATAAATTGATATAAAACCCCAATAAATCGATATAAAACCCCAATAAATCCCTATAGAACCCCAATAAATCCATATAAAACCCAAATAAATCCATATAAAACCCCAATAAATCCCAATAAATCGATATAAAAGCCCAATAATTGTCACCCCAGCTCCTCCCCGGGCCGGATGTGGCGGCTGCTGAAGAAGGCGATGCGGGGGAAGCCCCAAAAACCCCAATAAATCCATATAAAACCCCAATAAATCGATATAAATCCATATAAAACCCCAATAAATCGATATAAAACCCCAATAAACCCCAATAAATGGATATAAAACCCCAATAAATCCATATAAAACCCCAATAAACCCCAATAAATCGATATAAAACCCCAATAAAGGCTGACCCCAGCTCCTCCCCGGGCCGGATGTGGCGGCTGCTGAAGAAGGCGATGCGGGGGAAGCCCCAAAAACCCCAATAAATCCCAATAAAACCCCAATAAATCCATATAAAACCCCAATAAACCCCAATAAATGGATATAAAACCCCAATAAATCCATATAAAACCCC